CAATACAGTTCTTTTTCAGAAGCGACCTGACTATCACGAATGATAGTTCAATGAAGTGGCTTATCATCGTGTATAAATTGTTAGCAGCCGCATACTCTAAACGCACTTTGATTCTAAATGTGTGTGGGGGGGGGGGGGGGGAAACAGGGAAACGAAAGGGTCGGATCGAACCTACGACCTCCTGTATACCATGCGAGGGAGATAACATCTCGCCACCTTCTCTCCTCAAACGGCTCGACTCCCTCCCGTCGCCTCTTTCCCCAAGTCGCTTACGACCTCGCTGAATTCGCATGTATGTTGAACTTCTCTCGCACCCTACGTCGCCAACCGTGCTAATCGGAACTGCCAACCCATCAAGAGATGCGCTGCCTCCCATCGCCCATGCGATGCCCCGAGCGCTCTTGCTCGCCACGACAGCGTTCAAAGGCACCGGGGGCTTGGGCCCATGGAGGCGAGGAGGTGGGCACGGACGGCTGCGCTTCAAGTAACTGCCAGCGTTTGTGACGCTAAGCACTCCGGTCGGCCTTCAAGGTCACAGGAAAGATGACACTAACACCCCTTGACTTTTGGGGCTTTGTCACAGCAGATCCGAACAACACGAGGCGGCGAGGAGAGTTAAAGCGTAACAATTGCGGCTTGCGGAAGTTCACTCAGATGAATAGATACAAATTTGCGAGCAGCAGTCGTGATCAAGTTCACTGCTGGATGAATGCCTCCCTCAAGCCGTAGCCATCTCTTGACAGTCGCGCGACGATCCCCAGCTGCTCGCACGAGTAAATTATGAAAATTGAAACTTCAAGGAACGCTCATTCATAAACCACTAAGTCGCAGAAGCAGCGCACTAGCCTGGGAGAGAGGCAGGGGAGCGGGAGGGGCGTGGAAGCGCGTCGAGACGACTCGCCGCTGCCGCCGCCGCCGAGATGCCTTCATTTCTTTATTTCGCTTTAACGGTTTTCGCGATCGCCTCCGCGCGTTTTAGCAACGTGCGCGCGCATGGAGAGCCCCCCCCCTTCAGTCGCACTTCACCGCGTCGCTTTAAAATGCAAATCCCGCGCCCAGCCGAGGCTACAACATCAGAGGGGACGGCTCGATGAGAAGTGCACTCAGTGGCGAGCGGCTCGCGCGATGCATTAGGCATCAGCTTGGCTCTTTTGTTTTGGCGATGCGGGGGCGAACCCGCGTGTTGTTGCCCACGGAAAATGTATTCCGCGAGAGAAAATGTGCTCGCGAGTGGCCTTGGGCAGGACACATCGCTGGAAGGGTCCCCTGCGTGAATCTAGGGGTAACCTGTTTGGTGATATGGGTCTCTGTGTGAGTCTGTGGGTCCTCTATTTGAGTATATTAATCTCTGTGTGAACCTATAGGGGACAGAAGTCAGGCAAAGAGCGAAAGGAAGATCTTGAGCGGGGACTTGAATCGGGGCAGGGAGTCGATAGCACGGATGACGGGGGGGGGGGAAGTGAGTTCCAGACCGTGGGGGCAGCAGAGGAGAATGAGCGACCCCAATCTGCGACCCCCTGCCTAGGGAAAGGGGCGATGGCTCCCTCATCCTCTCCCCTTACCTCCCGGTTTGATCAACACAACGACGTGGGTTCAACACGTGGCGCCCCTTTCAACACAGCTGATTGACTCTGCACCTCCTCGGTAGTGATGCTCAGGGATACACTGCACGGGCGCGCTGGGCGGATCGTTACATCGCAGGATCGCGAGCGATAGCCGGCAGTTTGGGGAGGCCTTCATCCAGCAGTGGATCGACCGTGGCTGCTGCTGCTGCTGCTCATGATGATGATGATTTCAGCCACCAAAGAATATTTTTTTACGAGCCGCCAATGCAGGACCACTTGACGGGACCACATGTGGCGTGCGTGTGTTGAGCGAGGAGGGGGGCGGTGGGGGAAGGGGGGGGGCGGTGGGGGAGGGGGGGGGCGGTGGGGGGCCGCACTGTCAACCCCCACCCTCTCTCCACACTCAGCAGCAGCAGCAGCGGCGTCTAATGGCACAGACACTGCATCGTAGTAAAAATATTTATTATGAAAAATAAAGATGAAACAACCTCCACAGGTGAAGAGTTATTTAAAAATATATATTGTTGAGTGCTGTACTTTCAAAGGCTGGGATGTGTACTATACCTTTAGCGACTATGTTTTTCCTTGTCACATGCGAATGTGTGTTTGTGCTTTTGTCTCTGTGCGTGCAGCGGTTTGCGCTACCCTGCGCTACAAACCCAGCGACGCGAGTTCCATTCCCACTCACGGCCGGCGCCCGGTGTCGACTACCTGAAACCGGTCCGTGGCCTCCGCTAGGTCGACTCAGCCTCAAATGAGCCTCAAATGAGCACCTGGTGCGATGTGCAAACAATTATAATTAATTTATGTATACTATTTATAATTAAAAAGCAACTCATATATAGCATGTGGTCTTATAAGCAAAATCTACCGAGGAAGGAAAATTCTGAACCGTTATTATTATAATATTTTTTTTAATAAACGGAGTTTGCCTTCCGGGTAAAAATCCCAAAAATTTAAAATGTATCTCACAGGTCAGTGGCAAAATGGTGCCCTCTGTGGCTCGTGCGTTCACAGTCACGAAAAACACAAATACTCCCCCGAGGGGATTCACTGCAAACATCAAAGACAAAGATCCCCCGTATAGCCTTCAACAGACCGTAGGGGAAAGTGCTGTGAGCGGGCACCAGCAGCAGCTACAAAGGCCGGCGCGCGGCAACGCGAGGGGGTCGGTTGTCCAGCGCCATGCCCGGCCGCCTTTGTTTCCCCAGTGGCAATGTTCATACGCACCACGCGCCGGGTATCGTATTCCTCCTGCTCCGGGACGAATAAAGATTCTGAATCGAGCCGGGGTTGCAAAGAGCACGGGGCCAGAGAGAGAGAGAGAGAGCGAGACGATGAGAGAGACGATGAGAGAGACGATGAGCCAATCCCGCTTGGCAATTTCGATCCCAAACCCCTCCTCCCCCGCCTCTGCCAGCGCCACGGCCGGCGTCTGACCTCCCTCCATCCGCCCCTCAGCACGGCACCCGACGGTGCGGCTCTGCAGAATCCCTCCTTTATGTTGTGAGACAAACATCGCTGGTGAAGGTCCACGTGGGCGTTCGAAATGAAATGAAAGCACCGAAAGGTGTGCTGGGGGGGGGGGGGGCAAGGGATGCGACGGACGCCCCCCCCCCCGCCAAAGCGACGGTCGGGGATGGAGACAGATTCATTAAATATATTTTTTTAAATCCCTTCCCCCGTGGGGTCGGCGACCTGTGTATGTACTTAGAACGTCGTACTCAGATTGTAAATGTCGTGGATTTGCTCTCCAACACACCGGTGTGCTGTACTAGTGACGAATCGGCACGTTCTGTCTACGTGACAACCTTTACTAGTTGGCTGTAACCCAAGAAAAAAATATATATTACGTCGGACTTCTTTCGCACCGTACGTAGCCAACCGTGCCAACCGGAGGTGCCACCGCCGCCACCTCCGGCAGCAAACATTCAGGCGCACGGTTCGCTCCCAGGGGCGCGGCGCGCGTGGCTCTGCGCCGGCACGAACGTTCCCGCCCGCGTGGCCGCGACGCCGAGGGAAGGGGGGCGCGGAGCGAGCGGCGCCCTCGCCACCGGTCACGGCGGAGTAACTTGGAGTTGCGACGCAAGCCAAGCGAGCGCCCAGATAGCGGCCGACGTGGCACCGGAGGCCTCGCCTCGCTCCCAGGGTCGTCGTCGCTCCACTCCGCCCGCCCACCCCCTTCCGCACGAGCGTCCCGGTGCCAAGGAGCAAGCGGAGAGCGATGTGCCGAGGATATTTGTGTTTATACTCAAATGCTCCAAAGGTAATGGAATTCGTTTGGGTTTTTTTTTATTGTAGCCCGAGAATGCCAATCGGCCAGCAACATTGATGCCCTCTTGACGGAACATGAGGCGAAAATAGACGGGGGGATGGAGTCCCGAAGCCGGCGAGAGAGGGCACTGATGATGGTGCAGCAGATAGGAGTCACACACATTCCTTGAGGGATAGACACGATGGGAAGAAGCTCCAGAGAAGAGAAACGTTTTGACCTGCGTGCGTGGCATGGGTGAGAGCAGAAACGGGGGGGTCTCAATTCTCCACGCTGGTGGAGGCAGCAAGGTGTGAAGTTGGCTACGTACGGAGCGAAACAAGTTCAACATACACGCGTAAGAGTTCACGAGAGCGACGGTCATAGCAGGAGCAACGAAAGAGCAAACAATGGTGAGAGAGGGCACAAGCCAGTGAGCGCAGGATGAGCGCAGGATCAGCATCAGTATCGCCCGCCGGGCAGAGCGACAGGAGCCTGCCTGAGATCACGATCATCGTGCAGACGCGCATCTGGGGAACATGACGGCAGGAGCACAAATATTGACTTTCTCAAGTTCGCCTATTTCTCTGCGTGTGTTTATCAAAGACAGACGGGCGGGCACAGAAAAAATATGATTTTGTTTTTTTAAACTCTGCTGCACAAAGAGTGACTCGCTCATTATCTTATCACACGAACGGCTCTGGCTCAAGACAGAGTCGAGACCACACCTGCTGCTGCTGCTGCTTCTGTTGCTTCTGCTGCTGGGAACCTACAAAGCGTGGGAACCGTGGTGTGCGACGGGGCCGCCCGGCGCGACGGGGCCGCCCGGCGCCGTCGGGAGGTTCGCGTCTCGCCTGCACGACGCCGCAGGTCCCCCTCCCGGCCTCGCGCCGCCCGCCGCATTCTGCAGACCCCACCGGGCCCGAAACGACGTACGCGCGCGCAAGCGCTCGCCGAGGCGCGTCGTCCGCACCGCGGCTCGCGAGGGCGATTCGAGCGGCGTGAACGATCGACGTCACAACGAGCGACGCGTGAACGAGCATGAGAGGTGGGGCGGGGGGCGTGGGTGGCAGGAGGGAAGGGGCGGGAGGAATTTCCTCCGACCAACGAGCATTGAGGAGGAGGTCACGACCGGATGCGAAAGAAGGTGCTCGGACAGCCGCGTGACCGCGCACGTGACTCACAGTCGGTTGAGCTTGTCCATGCCCAGGAAGAGGAGCTCCGGCAGAACCTGAAGCCGATTCCGGTTCAAACGCCTGCGAGGTCACCGGGTGGAGGGGCGACAGCAGTGGGGAGGGGGCAGACGGAGGAGCACGTTAAAAAGGGTTGTTGTTATTGTATCCGTTCAGGGTTACGACGTTTTGATGAGGTTGCGTCGCTGCTTTTATGTTCAGGCTGCCCGTTTGCATGAGGCCGCTGTTGAGTTTGTGAAGAGCGGAGGCCGCTGGGGAGACAGAGGTGGCCGGGCGTGGTGCTGATCACGGCCACACCAGCTCCCCTGTGCGCCGTGCTGGCCATGTTCGGGTCTCTTCGTCTGTGTGGGAGACCTTTGCCTTCACGCGAGTGGAGCGCAGGAGCGTTGGTGTAAGTGCGCAGACCGAGAGGCCGTACGGGCAGCTCTGTCGTTGCGTACGCGTACGTACGCGAGTATGAGTGCGTGCCTGAGAGGTGCTCGCTTATAGCACTTGCCCCAACAGTCTACAAGGCTATATGTGGGGGAGGGGGATCTTTGTCTTCGTATGTGAGTGTGTGTGGCACAGTGGTGAGCACTGTCAGTCATCTCAGTCAGTCAACCTTCGGCACCTGGCTCTATCCCGTGACCTCCCACCAACGGCCAGCCTTACACACTTCACGTGGCCTCGACGTGCACCGAGCCTGGTACAAGCGCCGCGGCGACGTTACCACCACTTAGTGGCAAACGAAGGTTGTTGTTTTTGTTGTTACATACCTGCAACCCGTGGGGAATTCGGTTGATCCATCTGCCAATCACAGCACGTTTGTTAAACCCATCACGCTGTGCCCCCATAACAGCAATTCTTCAATACAGCACATGGCCACAAAGTGCACCTAGCCTGGCACAGATGTCTTGCAGACGTTACTAAAGTGATCGTAGGCCGTTGCTGTTGCCATTCTGTGTTTAACTCTAAACCTGCTTTGGTATTTCATACATTTATATTAAAACCATATTGTCCAAAAACAGTCCACTGCTTTTTTTCACCTCTGTTTTCCTCGGCTCTAATTTCCTGTAAAATAAAGAAACTCCAGAAGTTCAAGAGGAAAGGTACAAGCACACACAAAGGCAAAGATCCCCCGTATAGCCTTGGCAGACTTTTGGGTGAAGTGCTGTTAGCGAGCACCACCTATGAAGGCCGGAACGGCACTCATATACACACACACACAAGAATATACACAAGTACAAATATCCCCCGTATAGCCTTAACAGACTGTCTGGGTAAGTGCTGTTCATGAGTGGCACCTATGAAGTTTGGCATTGCACACACACACACATACAATCACAGAGACAAAGATCCCCCACATAGACTACACAGACTGTAGGGGCAAGTCCTGTGAGCGACAATCACCTGCACACACAGACACACACGTGTGCTCGCGTGTGTGTCTGTGTGTGAGCATTGCGGGTGGGGAGGGGGGTGGGGGCCGCTGTGATGTTCACATGGCCGTGATGCGTGGCGACGGCACAGTGACACTTCTCGCACCGAGCCAACGGGCGCGGCCGAGTGGCAGGCCAAAATAAACGTCGCCTTTTTGTGACATTTTACGCTTGTGTGCGGAATAGGAAGCTCTGGAGATGAGGCTGAGCGGGGGGGCGAGGGTGGGGGTGGCGGGGGAGGGTGAGGGGGGTGAGCCGTACTGGGTGCTGATGGCACAGTGGACTCACAATGAGCTGCACAGCATTTTCATGATAATAATTTTTTGCACATTTACAAAAAAGAAAACGCACGGTTCACTGTGGCCCAAATTTCGCGGGGCACGATGAGTGGATTTAGTTCCCTCAATGCCACTGGGAGTTCGCCAAGAAGGTTACTGCAGGTAGAGTGCCTTCTGCAGCGATGACATCACGTGTCACACGCGAGCAAAGGGATAACTTTGACTTGGGAGGAAAAGTTGATCATTAGCAACATCATCATCATCGTTGTCAGCCATGCTCAATCCACCAGCGTGGGCCTCGCCAAATCCTCGCTGCCTCTCGCGATTCTGCGCGCTCGCTGTAGCGACGATGTCAGTGCTGGTCGTGGTAGAGGGAACAAGAAGATTATCGAGGGCGATGGTTCCCAACATTGATTGGCGACTGTCCCCCTTGTTGAATTGTTTCTCGCGGCTCCCATAAATAAATGTACGAGTAATGATCATCAATAATGTAAGCACATTAAGCACAACGAATGTGGCAGTCTTAAGGCAATTGCCACGTACCCCCTGGGGTCGCCTCGTACCCCCGGTTGAGAACCCCTGCTCTCGGGGTGAAGCTACCGAGCTGCAACGCGAGCGGAGAAGAAACACATCGAGATGCGATTTATTTTAATTTCGAGATTGAAAATAACATAAGTTATTTACCACAAGAGCCACATTCATCCGATTTAGTTGCACACTTTGCAGAAATCATTCTGACATTTGTTTTGCAGAGCTTTAAAAGGCAAATGTTATCATCCCAATTGTTTCGTGCTTTTCATTCACCACATCGCGAGCTAAATAATCGTGACTAATCGTCGATGCGTCAGCCCCCCCCACCCCCCCCCCATAGCTGTCACTACGAGTGATATTAATCGATGACCGCCCCCTCTAGTGGCGACGCGCAGACTCGCGACGTCGTCGTCTGCCGCTTTGGCAAGGCTCTTTCAGGACGAGCCTTTTTTAAACTCGACGTTTCAGCCAGATGACCTTACTCGGGAATTGATGTGGTATTTTGGGGCTCGAGTTAACCTCGTGGATGATCAAAAGCGGCGGTGTTTATGGTGCTGCGGACCGTGACTCAGGCAGGAGTGGTGCACTGAAGGCCTCTCAAATATTCGCGTCACGTGAAAGTGCCAGGAACTGCCATGTTGCTGTTGTTGTTACATCAGTGTGTACGGCCCGAGTGAGTCGTCGAGGTCGTTTGACCATACTTCACCGCACTGGTCAGAGTGGGTTGGTGAAGGGACGGGTTCGAGAACCGGTGCAGATATCCCACTCGCCCCACACACATTAACCCTGACTTACAACAGGCGTTATAACCACAGATTGTCATTACAGGCAAGGGGCCCTACCTGCTGGGATAACTTCTTCATCAACATAGCACCATTGTCGTAACTTACAATGAGACTGTCTACCAAATAGCCAGGGTTAGCGTAGGCCCGAGGCTTCCCGCCACCACGGCTATTCCGTACCAACGTGTCAAACAGCTCGGGCAATGTCGAGACTTGGGCCTCCACGTCGCCCGAGCCTCATCGGCGGGAGCGAGTCGTGCTGCCTGCTCAAAAAATGTGCCTCCCACTGGGGGCTGCCCCATGCGTCAGCTGGAGTCAAGTATCGCGGCAAGAGGGAATTTATTCGCTGCAACTGTCGGTGGTGCTGGGGCCATCGTGGTGGCCGTGCCAGCGCAGGGGGCAGCAGCGTCGTCGACGTCGATGGTGCTCGGGCAAAGACAAAGATTCCCCCGTCATAGCCTTGACAGACTGTTGGGGCAAGTGCTGTTAAGGGGCACCGATGAAGTCAGAGCACGGCACACGAGAGGCCGGGTGGTCAGCACGACGCTTAGCGAGCACGAGTTCACGGTCGACGTGGCCAGCGCCACTCGTTCCGTCTCGGAGAGTTTTGCGGGACCTTGCGGGGGGTGGGGGCGGGGGGTAGCGACAGGAGGGTGGGTGGGCATCGTCATCGGATCGCCCTCTCGACAAGAAACAAAAAGCCGAACATCCCCTGGGGTTGCCGGACGCAGCAACGGGGCAACGCTCGAACGCAGCGCGGAGGGAATCGTCTACAACACGAAGACCACTCGGCAGCAGGAGAATGAATGAGCTCTCAGGCTCCAGGCTCGAGCAGAAGCCGCGCAGGGGGATGCACGGGTGGGGGCTGGTGGGGGTGGGGTTTTTTTAATTATTATTGTTATTATTAATTAATAATGCCCACTGCTTCCAGGATGTTGCAAGGGAAAGGAACAATTTCCATAACAAGCGTTGGCTCGGCGCCAAATGCTTGGGGTTGTTGAGTGGTGGTGGGTGGGGGGCGCTTCGACCCCGAGATGAGATCCCGCACCACAAGCACGGAAAGTGGATTTGGGACAATGGTGCAAGCTCTGCGAGTGCGACGGGGCCTAGAGGCTGGAGGGGCCCGGGCTACGAGTAAGAAATTGTGGGGGGAAATGGTGGTGGTGGTGGGGGGGGATCATTGTATCCCTTGCACCAGGGACCACACTGGTGCACAACAATAACACCGCCGCTGCCAATGACACCACCGACGGCAATGTCTTCACAGCACTTGTACCAGGCTAGGTGCACTTTGATCGAATACAAAGACAAAGATCCCCCGTCTAGCCTTAACAGACTGATGGGGCAAGTGCCTTTAGCGAGCACCTATGAAGGCCGGCACGAGGGGGTGGGTGGCCAGCACCACGCCCGGCCGCCTTTGTTTCCCGAGTGGCGATGTTTACACACCGCACCAGGTACTAATTTGAGTCCGAGTAGACCTAGGGGAGGCTCAGGACCGGTTCAGATAATCGTCACCGATGTTGGCTGTGAGCGGGAATCGAACCCGGGTCGCCAGGTTCGAAGCGCAGCATAGCGCTCACCGCTACACTACCACTCCCCATGATCAAACACACCCAAACACATACGGGCACAATTACTTACAAGCACACCTACACCCCGACAGAGAATCACATCCCCACACACACACAGCTGCAAAGACACGCAAAAACAAAGATCCCCCCTTATAGGCGTAACAGACTGACGGGACAAGTGCTGTTAGCAAGTAGCACCGATGAAGTCAACCAAGGGGAGGCCCAGGACCGGTTCAAATAATCGTAACTGCTGTTTACTGTGAGCAGGAATCGAACTCTGGTCGGCAGATTCGTAGCGCAGCACCCTAACCGCTACACTACCGCAAATACGCACGCACCTCAACGTACGTGGCACCCCTACCTACACGGACCTATTCAGAGAAGCGTTCCACCACTACACACAGACACCCCTACACATACCTACCTACCTACACACCCCTATATACGCGCACACAACCCGGCTGACCGGCAGCCGAAAGAATGAACTTAACCAGAGTAGATTTCACGCAACGTTCTCTGCTCTATCAACACCGGGTTCCGGAACATAGAGCAAAGGGGAGCACAGGGTGAGGGTCGGGGGGGGGGATAGGGGACGAAGGTGGAGGCAGGCGAGTGCGGGAGAGACAGAGGAGGAAGAGAGGGAGAGAGACAGGGAGAGAGCAGAAGAGGTGGTACGGGAGAGGAGGGAGAAAAGGGAGAGTCCGAGAGTGGGACGGTAGAAAAGGGAGAGCCGGAGAGAGGGAGGGAGAGAGAGGAGAGAGAGAGAAATAGAGCTGGAGTGAGGAAGGCGATGGAGAGACCGAGGAGAGAGGGAGAGACAAAGAATAGAGAGAGAGAAGCCAGGAGAGAGAGAGAGAGGAGATACGGGGAGGAGGGAGAACAGGGAGAGAAGAAAGGGAGAGTTGGAGAGAGGGAGGAGAAGTCGGTGTAGACACGAGAGAAAGAGAGAGGGGGGGGGAGGTGCAGGGAGAGCGAGGGGCATCTGTGGAGGGAGGAGGAGGAGGAGGTCAGTCGGTGTTTAATAAGCGAGGCCACGCAAGACGCGACGTGACCTGTGGACTCCCGACAGGCGCAGGAACAAGCGAGAGAATGTTGAAATGTTTAGAGAGGGACGTCTGGAAAGGAAATTGATTTTTCTCTCCGTTTGAGAGAATATGAATGAAGGAGATGCAGGGATTCTGTCTTCCTTTCACCCCCTCCTTATCCCCCCCCCCCACCCCCCCCCTCTTCATTTCGCGAAAGTTTTGCATTCCACAGCCACTGACGCTGTCAGCTCGCGAACACGCGCTGAGCGCACACCATCATCGCGGTGCCGTCCTGGGGTGGGAGAGCGGGGGCGGGCTTGGGGGGTGTTGAGGAATACCGCACAGACGTCTGCCCCTACCGCCAAACTCTCGCTGCTGCTCGGCGAGCCGCGCTTGAGCTGTGTGCGTTGAACTTCTTTCGCACCACCGTACGCAGCCAATCAGAGGTGCGGCGGAGGCGGTAGAAAGCAGTTGTGACGGGTGAGTTTTCGACCTTCTCGCCGACGGAGAATCGCGAACGCGGTAACGACGGTGGTGCTCGCCGCGCGACGCGGCTCCAGTCGGTGCGCCGATGCCGTTCGAGCGTTGGCGCGTTCGTCGCGGCCGAAGGCCGGGATCGCCGTAACGCCGCCTTCGATTCACCGTTGCGACTTTGGCCTTCGGGCTGCACCGCCAAGGCCAGTTGCCGTCGCAAGACAGTTGGCGTCTCTCAAGTGGCTCACTGGACAAAGACCATTTATCTCCCGCATGGCCTCAACAGAGTGTAGGGGCAAGTGCTGATAGCGAGCGGGACCTATGAAAGCCGGCACGGCACACGAGGGGGTGCGTGGGCAGCAGCAACGTCCGGCCGCCTTTTTCTCTCGCAGTGACGATGTTTACGCACCGCACCACCTGATCGTTTAAGGCCGAGCCGACCGAGTGGAGGCCCAGGACCGGTTCAGATAATCGTCGCTGGCGTTGGTGGCCGTGAGCGGGAATCGAACTCGGGTCATTGGGTTTTTGGCCCAGTGCGTTAACCGCTGCACCACCACTCCCATCGCTAACACTCACACCTGGGGAGCCGGCACCCTGAGTTGGAGTCCAGGCTTAAAGGTTGTTGCTATCTCTGTAGCGATTCAAGAGGAAAGGCCAAGTTCTCTCAAATTACACTTTTTTTCTCTCAAATTGTGCCTCGTTTAAACTGAGCCACATGTTGCATTATGCATTTACAGGTATTGCCGTCTTGTATAACGCCGAATGTTCCTGTGCATGACATGTTTACAGGTCTTGACATTCTATATAACTTGTAACTGAGGTTTAGGGTTTACATTACACCTACACGATGATTCGTGTTTTAAATAACTTGGCCCTCGTTGTCGAGATCACATTATTTACGAGGCCGATCACTTTTTCCTAACTCTGCTCTTTCTGTCTAGCCGTAAACGCGTGGTTTTCCTCTCCCCCGCACCCCCCTCGAATGTATCCATTCTTCGCGCAGCACACGCATGCTCAAGCAAACACGGTGCGGGCAGAAAAATTGCAATGGGACAGAGAGACAGCGTGCATCCCAGTGTTCCCCGTCCCCTTGAAGGCAGCAAACGACAGCCCACAGCCAAGGTCGTCGTGACCTGCTTCTCCAGGGAAGTTTGCTAATGTTGTCCTCATTTACATTTGATTGGTGGTGGGGGGAGGGGCCAGGGCGGGCGGGGGGGGGGGCGGTAATTGGGAGCGGGGGGGTCCGAAGCCAACGGGGCAAAAGTTGTGAACGCTGCAGAGTGCGGTGGTGACTGGAAGGAGAGGATGGAGTTTGGGAGCAAAATAAAATGTTAAGCAAATTAAACAATTATGCTGTATTGTGTTATTTCATTGCATTACTAGGTTAATTGGGAAATGCTCTGCAGGACTGACGTGTGGTATTTTAAGAGCCCAGGTCTCGTCGCGATTGAGGTGTTCCCTCCTGAATGTTGTCTGCCTGCACTGCTCCTGCCGTCGGCCTGCTTTGAGTCTGAGCTGTGGCTGCCGATCGCAATGATGTCGACGCGTCAAAGTGATCTTCCGCTCAACCGAGCATTTGGGTGAGAGCTCTCCTCCTCCATTTCTTTCATAGCCCCCAGTCAGTCCGCCAGTGGTGGAAATTCCACGTCCATATGGCGGAGTCAAGCATATCCACGTGACAACCACTGTTGACTTCCCCAACAAAGTGTTGCTCGTTTCACTGACCCTGAGAAATAATGGGCAGAGTGAACCCGGCACCAAACCCTTACCCACCCAGTGTCATCGTCTCTTGGGCTGTCACTCCTCGGCCTGCCTCACTCCCACATTCACAACCTCCTCACCCTCTCATCAACCTCCGTCCGCGCACGCACACACGCACGCACACACGCACACACGCACGCACGCAAGCACATGCACGCACACATGCACACACCCGCTCGCTCACGCCAAACTGGTGGGGGGGGGGGCGGGGGGTGGCAGCGTCGCCGCAGTGGTGTGGTTTGCCCCACAGCGACCTACGAACCGGGCACACATGAGTTCGATTCCCAGCCACGGCTAACGTCAGCGGCGAGCGACGTGTCAACCGGCCGTGGCTCCCTCCAGCTTCCCCGACCCGTGCTGGGCCCGCACAGTAAAGCGTGACCCGTCGACCCCCACGGTCCACCCACACGGCACATACATAGGTATCGGCTAAAGGCCATCTGTGTGTCTGGGTGCAGGAGTCACGGGGATTCGTGCTAGGACTCTGCTACTCACAGTCTGTCCAGCTCCTTCAGGTCGTTGAATGAGCCCCTCTCGATGGTCGTGATTTGATTTTCCATCAGGTGCCTGCGACGGGGAGAGAGGGGGGGGGGTCGACACCCGGAGCGGCGGGTCAACGGCAAGAGACGCTGGATAGGGCGCAAACACACGTGGGGGGGGGGGGGGTGGGGGGCGTTGTGTCGCCACCGTCAACGCGTGCAGTGCGCAAGCGACTCTACGTGAGTTTGCTACGTGAGTATGATCGATCAGCACGGGCGGCTACGTACTGTGCAAAAGAAGTTCAACATACGTACGTGCATTAGCGCGCTGAGCTCCACGTGGTGCAGGTCGCGAGGCCCCGAAATTTATATTATACAAAAAAAACCCATCTGTCTCTCCGAAGTTATTATCACGGTTACATGTGTCTACCCAAGGGAGAGGATCACTGAGCATCGAGCCTCTCGTTTCAGTGGGCTGCTGATAAGCTTTAGAGTCGGGGGCAATGGTGGTATGTCTATATCAGAAGGACAGATAGAGGACAGACATGGGATCGATGACTAGTCGCATGAGTGGATGAGTGAGTGAGTGAGCGAATTACATGAGTGAGGAGCGGATCGCATGAACGAGTGGTTAGTGAGTTGAGCGAGTAGCTAATCGCATGAGTGAGTAGCTAATTGCATGAGTGAGTGAGCGAGTCACGTGAGTGAGCGTTGAGCGAGCCCTTACAAAACACGGAGGTTCCTTAAACCCGCGAAGTCCGTCTTGCCAAGCCTCGTGATGTTGTTGGCGTTCAAATCTCTGCAACAAAAATACATCAACAAAACCGATTTAGTTTTTTTTTTGTAATAAACCATCGTCGAATCATGGTTGCTTGTTTAAACCCAGTGAGACGTCGACGGATGAATACACGGGCCCGGGATAAGTCGAGGGGCCAGGCCATGATGTAGGGACCACCTAAGGTAGAGCAGCACCATCTTTAGTCGTATCGATCTTATTATTGTTATTCTTTGAATGGCAAAATTCGAGTGAATGATTGACTCGTTTCAATCGGTTATCACTTCACTCGCCGTTGTGAGCCACACTCAGAGACTGCCATCAGAGACCGGAGTGATGCCACCTCGGTTGGTGCCGTTAAGTGAAATCTGTTTAATATGTATTCCGGACTCGTGAACTAATGATGTCCCTTGCAGTGAGTGCTGTGCTGTGTTGTCAGAATCAGAATGTTTATTTACACTGGAGGACTCCGATGAGCTATGAAGCTCTTCATCACAGATGTCCAGTAGGGACGGGTCATAACATTACAACAACAAACAGGACAGAAACACGACAGGAGTGCAAAGTAGAGGAAAGGTAATAAAGAAAATCGCTTAAAAAACGATTGTACGAGCACAACAAAGATAACTCTAACCCACTCCGCCATTCACTCTGCCTTAAAACATGAAACAAATCCATATCCACTTGGGGGGCTGCGGGCGGGGGAGTGGTGGCGCAGCGGTTAGCGCGTCGCGCAGTGAACCCCACGATGACCAGAGATCCATTCCCCAGCCACGGCTGACGCGTCAGCGGCGGGTGATATCTCAGAATGAGAATATTTATTCGGAATCCTGGGGGAATCCGATGAGCTATGAAGCTTTTTCACAGATATCCCAATGCGTCCTGCTGTCGTCTGCTGTCTGCTACTACTCTCCAACCACGTGACAACCGGTTTCACACGCGGCGGTCACCCGTCCAGGCGATGTCCAGGCTCAAACCCCTGCTTAGCTTCCGAGAAACTGGCTGGATGGGGGGGAGGGCGTGAGCTTTCGGGGTGAAATTGTGTCACGTGATTTAAGATTTTGAGTCAAAATATCCACATGGGAGTCCGATGTTCCTCGACTGTGAAACACTGAATAGAAATCTCTCCTCCTGAAGGAGACGAGCAACGGAACTGCGGAGGGAATTCCACGTGGGTAACGTGTGTTAGTGGCAACGAAGATTCCCCGTACGCTCTTGCAGTCTGTCGGGGCAAGCGCTGACGTGTACGTACGCTTGCGCACTGCGCGTTTGTACTCATTTAAGGCTGAGTCGACCTAGAAAAGGGACCGGTTCAGATGTCAACTCGCCACCGATGTTATCGGTGGCCGGGAATCGAACGCAGGTCGCCGGGTTCACAGCGCAGTGCGCCACTGCTCCTAATACCCATAATTATATACACACACACCTATCGGTATGTTCACATAGACATTGACATATACACCCATAAACATACACGCACAGATACGTACACACATGCATACAAAGACAAACATCCTACCTAGAGCCTTAACAGACTGTTGGGCCAGGTGCTGTTCGCTAACATAGATACGCACACAGATACGTGCAGATACGTCCACGCAGATTGATACAAGCAGATCGATACACATGCCGCTTTAGACTGTGCTACGAACCTCCAGCTAGGGACTTCAAATGCCCGGCGAATGCTCTGGGCTTCCCCTAGGTTAACTCAGACTTCAACCGAGTATTTAGTGCGGTGTGTAAACATCAGCACTGGAGACAAAGGCGGACCGGGCAGTGGTGCTCACCACAACACTCGCTCGTACGCAGTGCCGGCCTTCATAGATGCTGCTGCTCGCTAACAGCTCTTGCCCCCCCTCCCCCCCAACAGTCTGCTAAGGCTATACGGGGAACCTTTGTCTTTGCATCGGTGCCACTGTTGGGGGGAGGGGGGTCTCGGTGCTTCGGGGGAGTCGAGGCGACCCCCTCGCTGAGCCCCCCCCCCGCACCCCCGCTGGGAACACAGTCACACTATAAAGGGGGAGGGGGAAGTGGGTAGGCAATTATTTAACGCATCTCATCAAACACAAACATTTCGAGTCGCACACAAACCCAAATTAAAAACCCACTCATCCGCATTCATCATTCACTGCCTATGCAACACGTAGAATTTTGTTTTTATATATGTAAAATGACGTTTCACGCAATGGCCCTTCTGAAGAGCTCCAAATTGCAGTACCTTGTGTGTGTGTGTTGCTGTGACTAGGACCAATGTGAATGTTGTCCATTTAAGCATAGGCTATGTGATTTTAGTCTTGTTGCTGCTCTGCCATGTCACCAAGGTTAACAATGGGTGTAGGTGATCGCGAACAGCACTTGCCCCAGCCGTGTGTTAAGGCTACACGGGGGGACCTGTGTCTTTGGCATGCACGTGTGAGCGATGCGGACACGCGGAGACATACAAAGACACACGGAGACAAAAACAAAGATCCCCCCTATAGCCTAAACCGACTGTTGGGGCAAGTGCTGTTAACGAGCACCTATAAAGGCCGGCACGACACACAAGATGATGGGTGGCCAGCACCACGCCCGGCCGCCTTTGTCTCTCCAGTGGCAACGTTTACACACAGCACTCGATACTCATTCGAGGCTGAATCGACCTAGGGGAGGCCCAGGACCGGTTCAGATAATCGTCACTGGTGTTGGCCTGGGTCGTGGCGCAGCGCGCTAACCGCTGCACTACCGCTCCCCGCAGATACAAACAAAGACAAAGATCACCCGTGTAGGCTGTGTAGACTGTTGGGGAAAGTGCTATTCGCGAGGACCGATTGAAGCCACCACGGCACACGAAAGTGGGTGACATGCTCCAGCAGGGCGCGCGTTCCGGGGCTGCCTTTGTCTCCCCAAAGCTAGTCTCTACACATATATCTTGCCGCCTACTCGTTTAATGCTGAGTAGACCTAGGGGAGGCCCGGGACAACGTTCTGTTTACGCCTACAGCTCGCAAACTCCGCTTACAGCAACTGGCAGTCTATACAAGGCAGTCTATACAAGGCAACAACTTTGGGTGGAAACCCGCGATCTTCGCGTTTACTACAAATCACGGACGGCCGTCCGTCTCGTTTCGGCGTCTTCAATCGAGTCTCAGAAGACTGAAACGAGGGTTCAAAGTTAGGGCCACCCCCCCCTCCACACCCCCGCGGCCCCCTAACTGAGCCCCCCACAAGAGAATGCTTTGATGTGAACGAATGTTGAGACACTGCACTGCTCTACACATATATTACACAGGCAGGGCTTGTCTGAGCGCGCGATCTGTTTAGACAATTGTGCTGTGGGCAAGCGGTAGCGGAGTGGTGAGCGCGCCGCGGCTACGAACCCCGAGCTCGATTCACCCGCCCACGGCCACCAACACCCCGTGACGATGATCTGAACCCCGTCCTGGGCTTCCCCTAGGTAGACTCGGCCTCAAATTCTGTACCCGCTGCCCATGTGTAAACATCGCCACGAGGGAGACAAAGGCGGCCGGGCGTGGTGCTGGCCACCGGACCACCCTCGTGCGCCGTGGCCGGCCTTGGTAATTGCTGCTCGCTAAAGGCACCTGCCCCAACAGTCTGTTAAGGCTACACGGGGGATCTTTGTCTCTTACGCAACGAACCCGCGCCGTTCGATTGCAGGCCACGGATCGCATCGCGTGGCGGAGCGGTGTCTGAACCCGCGCTGGGCCCTCCCCCAGGTCGGCTCGGCCTTAAATGAGCATCTGGTGCGGTGTGTGCGTGGACATAAAGAACTGGGGAGACAAAAGCGGCCGGGCGTGGTGTTCGCCATACGTCGCTCTCTTTCGCCGGGTGCTCGCTAACAGCACCAACAGTCGGCACGGCTAAGAGGGTCATCGGAACGGGGCTTCCCCTAGATCAACTCAGCCTTCAAACGAGAGACTGGGAAGCGCATGACGGTGGTCGTGGTGGTGGTGGCGTTAAGCACTTGCCTACTCCTAGGTCGACTCAACCTTAAATTGGTACCTGGGAGGGGTCTAAAGCATCATCAGCAGCAGCGGCTTCGATGGCTCTCGCTAGCAGCGCTTGCCCCCAACAGTCTGAGCAGGCTGTAGGGGGTGACCTTCACAGACCCCCCCCCCCCCCCCCGTGCAACCTTGCCGGACTGTTGGGGAAAGTGCTGTGAGCGAGCACCTACGAAATTGCGCACACAGCGCACCAGGTAGCGAGTGGCCAACACCACGCCCGGCCGCCTTTGTCTCCCGAGTGGCGATGTGTTTGGCATCCCACTCAATTTGAGGGCTGGCCGAGTCGGCTTCGTGGATGAACCCAAGAGCGGTAACAGATCCTCGTCACTGGCCGGGTTCCGTAGCGCAGCGCGCTAACCGCTGCGCCACCGCTCCCCGTACGTACATGCGCACACCACGCACACCACGCTCATAAAACAAAGACTAACGGATGACAAAAACTATGACATCTTCCGTAAACAAGACCGGGCGTGGGGGGGGGGGTTACGTGGGCGAGTGATGCCGCACAGATGCGTAGTGAACGAGGAAGTCGACACCACCACCATCATCGTCATCATAATTCATCACCATCACAGTGCGTATGTTGTCATCGTTGTCACCATTGTGTGCACGTGTGGCTCGTGTGATGAATGGATACTTGCACACATACCACGTACCCCCCACCACCACCGCATACCACGCACGTACCCCCTCCTAATATCTCTCTCTCTCTGTGTATCGCTCTCCTCTGTTAATTTAAATTACGACCTCAAACCATCGCGTCTGGATTCGCGAGGGGGTGGCTACGGCGTGGTGGAGGCCTTCATCTAGCAGTGGATACGACCACGGTTTCAACAATAACAGTGTTGATGATGCTGAATGATGATCAAGAATTGAAACATTTCAAAATGCTGAGATTTTTTTCCGTATAAATACGTTGCGTGGTGATGATGATTGTACCTGGGCGGATAAAGGAACTACCAATTCATCTGTCTGTCTGCAAGTACAATGACTGCCGGAAGAATCGCCCCCAATGCGCCCCATTTCGTCAGCTAAGCAGCGATTCGGGGTCTGATTCAGAGTCTGATTCGGGGTCTGATTCGGGGTCTGATTCGGGGTCTGATTCAGAGTCTGATTCGGGGTCTGATTCGAGGTCTGATTCGGAGTCTGATTCGGAGTCTGATTCGGAGTCTGATTCGGGGTCTGATTTGGGGTCTGATTTGTGGTCTGATTTGTGGTCTGATTCGGGGTCTGATTTGGGGTCTGATTTGTGGTCTGATTCGGGGTCTGATTCGGGGTCTGATTCGGGGTCTGATTTGGAGTCTGATTCGGAGTCTGATTCGGGGTCTGATTTGTGGTCTGATTTGTGGTCTGATTCGGGGTCTGATTTGGGGTCTGATTTGTGGTCTGATTCGGAGTCTGATTCGGGGTCTGATTCGGAGTCTGATTCGGAGTCTGATTCGGGGTCTGATTCGGGGTCTGATTTGTGGTCTGATTCGGGGTCTGATTTGGGGTCTGATTCGGGGTCTGATTTGTGGTCTGATTCGGAGTCTGATTCGGGGTCTGATTCGGAGTCTGATTCGGAGTCTGATTCGGAGTCTGATTTGGGCTCTGATTTGTGGTCTGATTCGGGGTCTGATTTGGGGTCTGATTAGCACTTGGACTGGAACCTGCCTGAGAACCATCAGGTGTAGTGTCGAGAAAGAGCGGCCCGGTTTACGAGGTCACCAGGGCATTCCGGCAGGAGCGAAGGATTCTTGAATCGATCGGTGCTGAGCGTGCGGAGTGTGTGAGCGCATCGTGTGAGTTGCTGGGGTTCACTGCGATTCTCTCCGACACGCACGATGCCAAACTCTCTTGATGAGTAGAATTGACCAATACATTCACAGTGTCGCAACATCCACCTGCAAACGAGCCTTGAGACTCAGTAAAGCCTTCCGAGGTAACTAAAGGTCGTCGCCGCTGTTGGAGTGAAAACACCTCCACAGCAGCCGCAATTGCCGCTATCTTAAAACGCTGTTTGCACAACAATCAGAGATTATTTCCAGCCACCTGTAACCCCTATCATCATTCATAATCAATACTTTGCTTTTGCTAATCTACTGCTGGATGGAGGTCTTCTCACACCGTGTCTGTCATGGGGGGGGGGTGGGGGAGTTGTTTGACCATACTTCACCACGCTGTGTCGGAACTATATATAAATTATTGGAGGAATATGATTTTGACATGGGTAGTGGGGTTAGTCCGACACGCTCGTAATCCACTTCGACTGATCATTGATGCATTCGATTTATATTCTCTATCATCATCTTCAGCAACAACATCAATGATCAATCCACCGTTGGATGAAGGTTTCCCCAAGTCTCCGCCATTCCCTACTGTCCTCATTAAATTGTTACAACGCCACGTAACTGTACTACGTTCCCATATGAACCAACATACACCATGGCGAAGACACAGCGGGAATAATCAATCTCAAATTCTGGGAACAATACCCGCGGATATTACTTGCGAGTGGAATACTCAGTATTGTGCAAACTTAAGACCGAAATTACCAAGCATCTACCGGCGTGGATCATTGACAGATACGGTATACATGTACAGCCCACGTGTCAATACTCCACTGCTGGATGAGGGCCTCCCCACGCCGTGTGGATCGTGGGGAGGGGAGGGGGGGTTATTGACCATACTTCACCACGCTGGTCATTGCGTATCGGGAAAGGAGGACTCGACACTCACGCCGCCCGGAATGGAACTCAATTGGCCGGATTCAGAACGCGTAGCGCGCTAACCGCTGTACCACCACTCCACACCCCGTGTTCACTGCAACCTGTTACAAATCCTATAACCGCTCGCGGGATGAAACTAAAGGAACAGAGATAATGGGGTGGAAAAAGGGGGGGTTAAGAATGTGATGGATAGGGGGGGTGCCTCGTGGCCTGAGTTGTTAATACCAATGAGTTACAACGCTGAGAGTTCGATCCCGATTCAGCGCGTCGCGCAGAATTTCCCAAACTCCAGCCCCCACGTGCCGCCACTCGCGGGGTTCCGCGTGTCCACGTCGAGCAAACGTCGCCGTGTTAACACGACAGGAGTGAAGATGTGCCGTGCGGATAGTGGGCGATTCGTCAGATGGTGGTGGTGTTTTTTGGTGTTCGTGGTGTGGATCTTCTCATTTCAGCGTTGAGAGTTGCAGTTTGCACGAAATTGTTTCATTGAGATTTAGGCGGTTAGGCGCTGCGTGCGGTTGATGATTTAGTAATTGGTTAACAGCCAATCGCTGTCTGTGGTACGTGCAACACCATCGACAACAGCCCCTATTCGGTCCCGAAGTGGCAGTGGCGTCACCACGGAGCTTGTGCCAGGCTAGCTGTGGGCAAGGAGGCCACGGCACAGACCCAGGTGCCGTTGACCGACTCAGATGACTGGCAGATCCACCACCTGTGCTCCCCATTCTGCCAAATTGTTGCGTTTTATCCGCCCGGCGCTCCGCTCGTTGTTGTGAAACACACATGTACGCAAAGACAGAGATCCCCCTATATCCTTAACATACTTGGGGCAAGTGCTGTTAGCGAGTAGCGCCTATTAAGATTAACGCGCCACACTAGATGGTGGGTGGCCAGCACCACGCCCGGCCGCCTTTGTCTCCCCAGTGAGGTTGTACACACCGCACCAGGTGCTCATTTAAGACTGAGTCGACCTCCGTGAAGCCCAAAACCGACCCATACATTAACAATGTTAATGATGGCGCAGTGGGTTAGCCGCCACGACCACAATCGTAACCACAATCGTAATTTGAATCAGAGCTCTCCTCCTCCGGTAAAGTGAGCCACGCGTACAGACCGGCAGATGTCTCTGATGTCTCACTTCAAATCTACGCCACCGAGCCGGGGACCTGTTACCGATCATCGGGCGCGTGCAGCGGAGTTGCCACTTTTAACTTCGACGTCGCAACAGAAGATTGGTAAGCGTGGCGGGGCAAAGGTGGGGCGAGACAAGTCAACTTCGCCAAAGTCACAGACTGCCACGAGGATACAAAGGGGGTCGGGAAGTGGCGGGGTGATGATAACAAGGGGGGAGGGGGGGAGGGTTGACACTCACAGTCGCTCGGCGTTCCTGGGTATCCCCTTGGGCACGACGCGCAGCCCCAGGCCGTGGCAGTCCACGGTGGTGCCAGCGCAGCTGCACACACTCGGGCAGGCGTGGGCGCCTCCGCTCGACGACGAGGAGGAGGAGGAGGGCCACGCCGACGAGAAGAGGAGGAAGGCGAGCAGCAGGAGGTGCCGGCTCGTACATCCACACCGCATCATTTCCGCCATCACCACCAACCACCAGCAACAACAACAACAGCTCCCGCCGACGGCAACTGAACTACGGCCAACGGAGCCCTCTCTCTCTCTCTCTCCTCCGCTGAAGCTTTGTGGGGGCGCGGGACCGGGGAGCCTCGCGCGTCTTCCCCGTGTCGCCCACCGACGGAATTCCAACGGTGGCGGCACCTGGGCGGCGTGCAGAGTCCAACAGGTGGTCGGGCACAGGAAGCGCGCGTGGTCCGTCGGCCGTGGCAGGGGGAGGATGTTCGACTGACGATGAGATTGCTGACGACGACGACGAGGTGGTGGAGTGAGGGGCTGTGCTGTGGCGCACACTGAGCGAGCGTTTCAAGCCCTCGGCAGTCGCGAGTCCACTCCTCCTCTCTCTGTCTCTCGACTCTACTACCCTTGGCCTCGGATTCTCTCCTTCACACAGCTCCACCCCGCGCACGCCGCAATCTCGCGCCACCGTCCATGCAACTCGATATTCCAGCAGGAACAGCAACAAACGCAGCCGCAGCGCCAAGCGGAGGCACGGGACGGACGGATCTCCCAAGAAAGAATCCCGCAGCAGCGCGTAGCTTCAAATCAGCCGCTGCTGCCACAGCCGCAGAAGAAGACGAAGCTGAGACCGGCCTCTCTCTCTCTCTCAAGGTCTCCGCACTGAATGAAGCCACGCACGTTGAGAGGCGGGGGGGGGGGGGGGGAGACGGGGGAGGTCGAGAGGATACGAGAGGGGGGTCCCACAGTGAGCCGAGGGGAACGGATGGTTCGGAGCCTTGCTTGTCAGTCGGAGCGAGGTGCCGCGGGGTGCTGGGGGTGGATTGGGCTCCAGGACGCCGCTCCGGGTCTCGTGTGCGCTTCGCACGCAGCTCGCACCGCGTGTAACGCAGTCGCCTCCTCCGCCTCCTCCTCTCACTCCTCCCAGCGCCACACGAAGTCATCTCAGCCACCACCCACCCACGACTCTCCCAGCCAGCCCTCACCTCCCTCCCTCCCCCCACCTCCTCCTCCTCTCACTCTCCTCCCCCTCACTCGCAACCCCTTCGCTACCTAGCGGAGCTCCCCCCACCCATCCACCCACTCCCCCCACCCATCCACCCACTCCCCCCCCACCTACATCTTAACCCTCACCGCCAGTCACTGCCAACCACTACCCCCACACCACTAAAGGCAAATATCCCCCCGTGTAGCCTCAACAGACTGTAGGGGCAAGTGCTGTTGGCGAGTAGCGCCGATGGAGGCCGGCAACTGTGGCACACGAGGGGGTGGGTGGCCAGCACCACGCCCGACCGCCTTTGTCTCCCTAGTGGCGATGTTTACTGCACACCGCACCGGGTACTCATTTGAGGCTAAGTCGACCTAGATGAGTCCCATGACCGGTTCAGATAATCGCCATTGGTGTAAACCGCTCCTGTAGACAGAAACCCTGGTGGTGAGGAGAGGAGGGGGCGTGGTGAGGAGAGGAAGGGGCGTGGTGAGGGGAGGAGGGGGCGTGGTGAGGGGAGGAGGGGGCGTGGTGAGGAGAGGAGGGGGCGTGGTGAGGAGAGGAAGGTGCGTGGTGAGGAGAGGAGGGGGCGTGGTGACGAGAGGAGGGTGCGTGGTGAGCAGAGGAGGGGGTGTGGTGAGGGGAGGAGTGTGCGTGGTGAGGGGAGGAGGGGGCGTGGTGAGGAGAGGAGGGGGCGTGGTGAGGAGAGGAGGGGGCGTGGTTTGGTGAGGGGAGAGCGAGGTGGGGGAAGTGGTGAGCATAGTTAGATGAGAAGAGAGTGGTGAGTGTGGTGAGTGCGAGCGGAGGGAGACTGTGAGGATGCTAAGCGGTGGGGGTGATTGTGGTCATGAGACATGCCTCTCTTAGGTCAACTCAGCCTTAAAATGAGTAGCTGGTACGATGCGTTACAATAATCAGCGCTTGGTGCTCGCTAACAGTACAGTACTTGCCCCAAGTCCCCAACATTCTATAATAATGCTTTACGGAAGGTAGCTTCGCTATTGATGGAGAGAGGTGATTATTTTTGCACAGTCGGAGTACGTTTTATAAGTCGCCTTCTTATTGACGTCCTGTCATAACGCGACAAATCGCATCTTGGTCACTCTGAATTGCCAGTGAGCAGTGCATCACATTGTGCCAGGGCAAAAAAGTTGCGTAACTCCTTGAGAGTCGCTTCCATGAGCCTCTTCATCCCACACCGGTCGCTGGGCAACCTCTCTCTCTGTGGACCAACAGGGAGTGGTCTTCATCGAAAGCCAAACAACACCGAAACGTTCAAATTCTCGGCGCTAGAAATTCTCCGCGGCGAGTGGCCAACGGCACCGTCGATGTGCATCGCCGCTGTGTTTATTTGTGCGTCCGATCAAGAGTGCGGCTGAACCCCGGATTGCGACCCCAGTGCAGGCTCCAGGGGGACCACCGCTCCCGACGGGGCCATTCTGAAACCCCGAGCCCAGACTGCCGCTCTCCTGGGGGTGGTCGTCTGCGGGAAAGAGCTTCACGGCTCATCGGATTCCTCCAGGATGAAACGCAGACCGCGATTGTGAACTGTGGCGCAACGCAACCTGCGATCAACGCCGCGACTCGCTTCTGTCAAAGCAGATTCCGTCCTTCCTCGGCGTGGCTCTCTCGCCACAACCACCACGTGGCTTTTCGTTCGTGTTGTGCGCGGTGCTTTTTAGCGCCACAGCGCGTGGATTTGTAACGTTTCTTTTCATTTGTGTTGCTGGTGACTTTGTGTATTTCATATCGAAATCGCCTCCAGCGCTTTTGCTGCTGGCGGCAATAAAAGTTGTTTCAAAGTCAAAAGTCTCCCCCTCTGTCTCTCTGTCTCTCTCTCTCTGCAGCAGAGCCCATGGCTGGCCGAGCCTTCGGCCCGCGACTTGGTTTCGCACAGACCCCGCAGCCACGCGACGCTCTCTCTCTCTCGGCTTCGTGGCCCCCCTCGCGACCCCCTGCTGTGTGGTTTGCCCGTCACTGTCAACCGCCTCAGGCGCACTAATCGGGCACACGGAAGAGGGACACTTTTCTCCACCTGGCAACAACACCCGTGTCTCAAACCTGCCACGTGGCGCGCGCAGTACGTTAGGCCTTTAAATCCTCGTCATCGCCATTTAGCCAGGGTCAATCCACTGCTGGACGAAGGGCATCCCCAAGTTCCCGCGAATCTCCTGAGCTCCTGTCATGCGAGAATCAACCAAATCACATGCTCTGTGTACGTACGTACGTTGGACTTCTTTCGCACCGTACGTAGCCAACCGCGCTAATCGGGCTGATCTCCTCGCCTCGGGCTGCTCGTTGAGCGTCCCCATGTCTTGTGGTTGGACATTCCGTCGTTATTATTCGTTCATTACCACCGGCCGTCATCCCGCAAAGCCTTCAAAAAATATATATTGCAACCACACGGTCGAATTGACAACGGAAATATTGCAGCCTTGATCCGTGAATGATTACGCCAGTACGTGCTTGCTTGTGGTGGGCAATGACGTGAAAACATTTTTTTTAAAGAGTTACCGTCACGTGCCAGTAATTGAGCACATCGTGTTATTACAAAGGTGGTGGAATTGCTGCCGTATAGCGGTGCTGGCACTCGTCATGGTAACGTGGAATTGCCACAAACCAGCTCAGAAGATGAGCGCTGTTCGTCCATGGCGCGCGCGCGGCTTGAGCCAGAGGGGCACTTCCAGTTCTTGGCTGAGCAAACAATTCTGTAGTTACTCTAAGACGAGTTTTCAATCAACTCGTCGATATGAGGACGTGGACCGGGGAGATGGAGCGATTGGAATCGCAGGATCCGAAGCGGTAGCGGTACAGGCGGCGGCTTGGTGGTGGGGGTGGGAGGGGGAGGCCTCCATCCAGCAGTGGATTGACCGTGGCTGCTGATGATAATGATGCCAATATTTGCCTCGTGATCAGTTCGATAGAAGGTTCGCACTCTGGTGCAGCTGAGAGTCATCATCTCCGATTGCGCCATCCCATCGAGACCGCTCCACCTGAGTTGCGGTGAACTAAACCCGAACGATGAACCGTGATTGCCAGCGTGATGAGCCTAGTCGCTGACACGAGACTGGGTGAGTCATGGCCTATGAATAACTCGCACGAGTGTGTCTGTGGTTTTACACTGCGCAGAGGTGATCACGTTTCATTTGTCATTTCCTTGTTTTAATATTGCGCCTACTACATTTGTTGTTGTTGTTGTTGACCAGACTCATCATCTCAGACCCAGAGTGGCAGCCACGGAATGCGACGCGTCCGCGAGATAGTCGCCCGCCGAGTGAGATGGAGCGATGCCATCGGCGTTCGTGTGCGCCGGGTGGACGACAGTGATTGACGTCGCAGGGATGAGTGAGAGGCGGCGGCTAATGATGGTGATCTCAAACCCGAGCTTGGGAGAGATTTTCTGTTGTCCTCCCCACCCCCCGCACATCCGATTAGCACGGCTGGCTACGTACGGTAGGAAAGAAATTCAACGCACATACAGATGAGGGTTTCAACATTGATGCGACTGCTTCTGTTCAAGTTTGCTCCAAGGTCGTTACAAGAAAACCGCACGCCTCTTTAATTTCCACGAACTCAGAGATGATGATGATGATGTCACTTACAGAGAGAACAAACGCACTCAAGACTCGCTCTATAGGAGGACAGTCCCTCCTCCATTATCGGGGTGTTTGGCAAATTATATTTTTTTACAGATAGCCAGCACCGCGCATGTCCTTAGGACGTAACCGTCCGTCCCTCTGTATAGCCAGACAAACAGCCAGCAAAACTTTTTTTAAAGAATATAGTATGATGAGTGGTTTGCCATCGTGTGGGAGGGAAACTGGGGGGGGGGGGGGGGTGGTGGATTACACTGTGATACAGTTCCTGTATACAGAGCCGACTTGCTATGCTGTTACATTTAGGCCAAGCTCGCCTCCGATTGGCACGGCTAGCTACGTGCGGTGCGAAAGAAGTTCGACGTGCATCTCTGATGTGATCCACCAAGCCCCTTCGGCGCCTCCACAATCGTGGTCGCTTCTGCGCGCGCGCGCGGCGCCACCGCCACTCCGCGCGCCCCCGGGATTGGTGCGCCATCTGCTGCTGGATCGAGGATTTCACTAAAAAATAAAAACCGCACAGCGATTCCCCCGTGCCCACCGCTCCGTCCGGCCCCAACTCACTCACAGCCATCAATCACCGCAGTCTCTGGGATCGTGAGATGTCCCGGAAAGTAAGACTGTGTTAAACAAGACCCGTGGACTGTGTTAAACAAACCCCGTGGACTGTGTTAAACAAAACCCGTGGACTGTGTTAAACAAGACCCGTGGACTGTGTTAAACAAACCCCGTGCACTGTGTTAAACTAAACCCGTGGACTGTGTTAAACAAACCCCATGGACTGTGTTAAACTAAACCCGTGGACTGTGTTAAACAAGACCCGTGGACTGTGTTAATCAAACCCCGTGGACTGTGTTAAACTAAACCCGTGCACTGTGTTAAACTAAACCCGTGGACTGTGTTAAACTAAACCCGTGGACTGTGTTAAACAAAACACGTGGACTGTGGTAAACAAAGCCCGTGGAATGTGTTAAACAAAACCCGTGCACTGTGTTAAACTAAACCCGTGGACTGTGTTAAACAAAACCCGTGGACTGTGTTAAACAAAACCCGTAGACTGTGTTAAACAAAGCCCGTGGACTGTGTTAAAACCCGTGGACTGTGTTAAACAAAGCCCATGGACTGCGTTAAACAAAGCCCATGGACTGTGTTAAACAAAACCCGTGGACTGTGTTAAACAAGACCCGTGAACTGTGTTAAACAAAACCCGTGGACTGTGTTAAACAACGACAGTGCCAATAGGGCGATGCGAAGTAGAAGCTTGGGGTTGCTGTTGGGATTGCACGCCGTGAAGGAGAGGCGCCCTTCCCTCCATTCTCGACCTCCATTCCCACGTCCCCGCCTCTGCTAGGGAGCGAACCC